ACTCAACTGATCTAAAATATTATCAAAAATTACAGCTAATACAAGTGGTGAAACGGCACAGCAATAGTGTGCCAGCAGGTCTTGAATTCGAATCTGCCTATGACTTCATATTTTTTCTCGAACGTCACTGATGCCAAAACAAAAACAACAAATGGAATAGAATGAGTTGAATCAGTAATTTCACATTCGAATACAAGATCATTTTGTTGTCTCTTTAATTTCACAATTAAAATCTCCTTCGACTTTTACATTGATTTTTGAAAATGTTTAATTTCATCCACAAATAACGAAGTTTGACTTCGTGATAATTAGCTGTCGAAAGCATGATTCGAATTCTCTGTCTATATACCGGGTACCAACGAAATCATATATAACACATGTGTCCATTTCTATCGAATATAGCATGACATCACATACTGAAATATTGTCAAACTCAATGTAGGATGCTAACGTCGAAGTTTGCTTACTTTTTGAATTAAAGTTTAAAAATTGAAGTTTTTGATGCACCCACGTACTTTTTATCAATTTTGTTTAAACGCCATCGATTGCATCATTTATCTCGAAAATCTAAATAGAAATTTATAGAAATTTGTATTTTTCGAACTTCGACTTCGAAATGACTCTCTTATACTACAAAAAGGTGTCGCAGATAGTAATCTGTTCATTTTTCTCGGCCAGTGAAAAAGTGAAAGTGTTAAAGCTCTCATTATGGGATAATAACTTCATAAAAATTGCACTTTTCACCGGTACACATAAATGGACAGCACAGTATCAATTTTTGTAGTAAAAGAGGTACACTTCGATGTCGAAGTTCCGAAAATACCACTTCCTATTTAAATTTTTAAGATCAATGAAGTGAAAGTTGGCATATAATTAAAGTCAGTAAAGAGTTCGTTAATAAGTGAAAAATTTCAATTGTTGACTTATTCAACTTTATGAGAAAATTTCGTCGTTAGTTTCTCTTTATATCGAGTTGTTTGACATTATAGTACCACCATATTCAAATAGAAATGGTCCCACGTGTTATATCGTTGAAAAGAGAATTTTATTTCTGATCAGATGATTGAACAAAATTTACAGAGTCCTATTGGAAATTCTTGACTTGGTTTTATTTCCGGTTGACCCTCTGAAGATTTTCACGAGTTTCATCATAAAAAATATCAGCTTCGGAGAACTCCGAATTTCAAATTTCTTACTACATGAACAATTGAATGGCGTGTACAATGATTTCGAGAAATCGACATGCCCACTTTCTATTCATAGTCTGGTTCACATGTACCATTTTTTCTTGAAAATATGAAAATATTAGCTCTCATAAATATCACTGGAGTTTTTCCTAACACCAAATCGTTATTTTTAACACCTCGACACGTGTTTCGATCACCAAGTGATCATCTTCAAGAGAAATATTGAACAGTTTAATCTTCCTCTAATAGAAAAAGCAAATCTAACAGCTGAACAATTCGCGTCCTACTCTACAGTCGATTTTTCTGGTGAAAGCACAACCCACTATCCACACTCTTGACTCCACAATACCGAAAATTACTTTTCGACAACGTTCAGACTAAGTGCCCTTATCGTAGTTAAACAGTGCGAAAATGAACTGGCACCAGTATTTTTCAGACTTTTCAACCTGTTTCACAAGAAACTATATTTATACCAANTGTTTCCATCACCAGAAAGTGAATTCTCTATTCGAATACTTTTTCATTTCAAAAAATTATATTCAAAATATTATCATGTACTGAATATAGGAGTACACTTTTTTTCCCAGTGAGTTTATTAAACAAATTCTACATTGACATTATCTCTCGTATGTGCTGTATTTCTGTGTTTATTTATAGAGCTATGACCCGTGACTGGTCTCCAGTCATACTTATACTCCAATTTCTTGAAGTCATCCATCTTTGTCCACAAGCAAAGTCTTTTTAGTGAAAAGTAAATCCCACTTTCTTTGTAGGTTCCAAACTCCCAACAGCCGTTTTCAAAATTTCCGCATGCTTTACTCAACGCATAGGTTCCAATCCTTCAGGCACAGGTTTAATTTTTAATTTATTAGTTTTTCTGCGAATACCATATTGAAGACTTTTTTTAACATATTCATGTTTGATAAGAAACAATCCCACGTCTGCACATCTGCACTGAATGAGAGATAGCAAGAGAATGACATACCTACCTGCACATTCTCTTAATTTTTATTTAAAAAAATGTAATGTTTTTTGAAACACATGGGTCAAAAAGTAAAAATCATTTGGAAACATTCTGCAGGACCATTTTTCAATTTTCTGAATTCACCACATCTCTTTTTTCACCGAATTGCAACATGATTTCTCAAATTTGAATTACACCAAAGAACAAAGTTTTTTTTATTCAGCTCAAACATTCGAAATATCATCAACCAATGTACTGATTTTTGAACCAGAAAAAAGGACCCAATGAATCTGCAGGAATACATTGAACAGAAAAGTAATATTTTTGTAAGATCTCATATGACCAGCTCTAGGCAAATTCGAACTTTAACAAGCAGCACAAACAGGATATTTCTCAACATACTTATATACTTCCTTTTCTATTCGAGATCAGTAGTAGGTACAGTTCTAAGATACGAGAAAGAGTTTCAAATATTTTTTAATGAGCGGCAATTTTTTTATCACGGTAGAATTGAAGGATTTCCTGTAGATTGGCAGTACCTATAGGTGCCACAATTTCCTAGTCAGTAAGGTTACTGACTATATTGTGATGAGGAGGAATATGTTTATAGATAACACTTTTTTCGACACGAAGATAAGGAAAGGCTTCTGGGTTGGTCTTTTTTTTTTCAATCAAAGAGGTATACCAGCCATCAAGCTGAAAGGTAGAAAATCGATAACAAAAACTTCAGCAACTGAGCGAAATATAGCATCAACCGACACATTCAATGAACCTTTTCAATATTCGATAGTGAAATCGAACTGTGAAAGCATTACCGCTCATCTAGTAAAACGTCCGGAAGGGTAGACAGATTGTAAAGATAAATGAGGGAAGCATGATCAGTCTCAATAGTGAACNGGAAAAAATAAACCAGTTTCATCTCACACTGAACGTGAATGGAATTCATATATGCTATTTGTACAATCGTTTCTTCAGTGAATTCACTATATCATAAAATCACAACTTCATTTGAAAATGTATTATACGATTTTTTGGGCACAATTCGGCTCAAAGAAGGTGGAACTTCAATATTTTCTTCTTTCAAAATGAACTGAATTTCTTCCAAGGTCTTTCCTTTCGTTTCTGGAATATACCAAATTGTGAAAAATGTCACGAAGAAACTAGAAGATCCAAACAGATAGAATGGTATATGCATGCCATATGAATTTGATAACCACTGATAAAGTTGAAGGCTGATAATGGCTCCAAAAACATACATGAGATCTGCAATAGTCATTCCCAAAGCTTTCATTTTAGTGGAGAACAATTCTGCTGTCAGGATTACTGGAACAATACCTATTCCAAGTTTAAAGCTAGCTGCATAAAACATTATCACAACTATTGGAATCCAACTCACATTCTCTAAATTGTAGCCTATGAGTTTCAAATGAAAATAAACAGCTAGAGTCAATAAAAAAACTCCGGTCAGAATAGTAGATCCAATGATCAGAGCTTTTCTTCCATACCTATCTACTTGCAAAGAGGCCACACATGCCACAACCAACATTATCACAGCAAATATAACAGCAGCTATAGAGGAATCAACATAAATCGACCCAGCTGCATCCAAAATCAGATGTAAATTCATCAATATCACACTTATTGCACAAAAATGTTGACCAGCATCCAATACAGCCATTATGGTAATGGCTTTTCTATTGCTTTTCACTAAAATCAAGTCTTGAATCCTCGCAGTTTCATTTTTTTGTCTTTCGACAGCTTTAGTGATATCTTCAAGTTCATTAGTGATGTCTTTATTTGGTCTGAAGAAATGTAAAGATTTTTGACCATTTTCTTTATCACCTTTGAAAAGCAAATAGTATGGAGATTCAGGTACGAATGGAAATGTGATAAGTTCTATAGCTAAAACAGTTATTCCAATAGCTGGTGGTATATAAAATGAACAAAATGGTCCTATGCTATAAACCAACAAAAGTCCTACAAGCATGCTCAAATATATAACACTGGACAAGAAACCTCGGATATTATGGTCAGCAATTTCTGCTATGTATATAGGAGCTGCCACAAATGATGTATTAGCCGTTACTCCGAACAAAAATCTTGCAATGAACATATGCCACATTTTATTGGCGAGGAGAATCATCAACCAGGAAAGTAAAGAAATCAAAGCCGCTACAAGGAGAGACTTTTTTCTTCCGATTTTATCTACAAAATAGATGGTAAACGGTAGCCCCATGAACGAACCAATCATCAAACATGATTCCAACCATTCAGCTTCATATTTTGTAGTTACTATGTGACTTTTTTGGCCAATCAAGTAGGGTATTACGGGAGCAGTCCAACCATAACTCATTCCATCCGATACAGCAAAGAGTGAACCTGAAAAAAAAATGTTTCTGAATGATGGTAAGTAGATTATCATTGATATCTATTATTATTATTATTATTATTATCTATTATTATTATCAGTGTATCACAAATCATCTGATTGTTTATTGGTCCTTCAGATATAAGACTAATAGAAGTTGAAATATGTTTCAATGATAAAGTATATATTATGTCTGATCTCATGTCAAAATTTTACTTTGCAATATTTGGTGACACTCATATTTGTCTTGGAAAAGCAGATATTAAGATTTTTGTGAATAAAAATTAGACCATAACTGAAACTACTGACAAACACTAGGATGGTATAAGGATGGGCAATACCACGAATGGACAGAGTCATCATCAATAGGGCACCTATTTTTCATGAATACTGAATGATAAATGGATCAGTACTATCCTGATTATTCACAAATTGATTTCAATTCAAAAACCACCGATAGACATCTGTTTCAGGTACTGTGATGGGCACACAGTACCGGGCAGGCGATCCTCTATTGGAAACAAACTATGAAAAGCCAGGACGATTTATTACATGAACGCAAGCAAGATGTCCAAGTTTTTATGTCGGCGTTGGCGGTTTGACTAAACTTTGAAACATACAGGGCGTTCCAAAGAAAACTGGACCTCCTTCCCTATAAGTCATAAATGGACATGTAATCGAAAATTTCAAAGAACGCGTCAATTTTCATTTTTAAGGGGACTGATTCTGATATGAAAATCATACCAGAAACTAACCACCCTGCGGTCAGATACTACCTCTCCTATTTTTTTCAATAGCATGGAGGGTCGAGTGATATATGATTTGAAAGGTATTTCGGCCCGCTTATTACCTTTATATTTTTTTCGAAATTGGTTTATTTGTTATTGAGAAATTAATTGTTGAACATTTTATCCAAGAAAAAACATCATGGGTGTACCATCATGCTAGAATGTTATTTCATTTAACACTAAATTGTCATTATTTTTCAGAATTTGTGTAATCATAGGATCTACACAGTCTTGTGATAGATATAAGATTACCTTCAATGTAAAATGGTCCAGCAATATAATTACCGTCCCAGACTTTCAATTTTTGTGGAGTTTGTAAATATGTTTCCATCACCAGAAAGAATTCACATCGCTTCAGCAAAGATAATTATGTCTATTCACTTCACCATTTAACATGAAAGAACTTTCGTCTGAAAAACATGTATTGTATGAGATTGGGTTATTGGTCAATTTCTCGTCAATTCCTGAACTAGCCTTATTTTGAAAGGATGGATTTTTTTATAATTATTAACGTGTTTTGGCATCTAATGGCCACTGACACGGGACCTGTGATACATTTGGTTACTAAAATTCAGATTGAATTAAACACAGTCGACAGTCCTTGAGGAACTGTATCACGACACTGAGCTGGTTACATAAGTTAGGTAGGCCGAGAATATCTTTAAGGGTTCTACTGAGTTTGTGTTCGCGCCGAGTTGGGCTGTAGTGTATACAATTTGAAAGTATGTGCTCAATTGCGAGTCTTGCATTATCACAGATTTCACAAGTAGAGGGATGTTGTGAATACATAAGGTAACCATGGGTGAATCGGGAGTGGCCCATTCTGAGTTTTCTGTTAACACGTAATTAATGAATTATATTCTAAACTTAAAGATAAAATTCCAATTAACTTTCAATCTCAATTAATGTGTCCAAAGAAGATCATAAAATGGACTATAATTCAACAAAAATGTTATCAACTGAAAGAAATACATCTGAAAGATTGTTTTTGGAAATGTCATTTATATTACAATCCAATAATTGCCTCAATAAAAGATCAGACATTGATCACCTCAGTGAAATCTATGCCTTTTTATTAGACATTGACAAAAATCTACATAAATTCCAAACCAACAATATTCCATTATTATAACTTCATTAAATTTGAACAGTTTCTCTTTCAACAAACTTCCAACCTCACTATGGCAGGGTTTTACTTTCATTCAACACCTCTTTTCTTGTTTTCCTCGAGACTAATGAGGATGTTTTCAATTAAAACATATTTGATTTTTGGGTTTTCTCATTGAGTTACTTACAGAACAGCAGATGTATCTGATCACACTTGCACCAGAATAGTTGTCTTTTGTTCCATAGTTTTATCATCTACAAACAAACACACCTCTTCAATCTGAATTTCATGACAGCTGACAGTGTCGAATTGTTTTGGGTCTCTCTCTCTTAGTTCTTCAACCACATGGCTTTTACTGGTAATCCATAATTTTAAAGAAGGTACTAGCGCAGAAGTACATTCAGGGAATATTACGTAACAGATTCGGGAGGTATGAAACAGCGAATGTGTTTGAAGTTCTTGTGTGCAACGTTAGCTATAAGTCATAGAGTGGTTGAGCTTTACATGAATAAAACAAGTGAGTCTAGATTGTACACAGGATGTGATGGCAGGTCTTTAAGAAACACAGTTTATAATGCGACACCAGAAAAAAAATAGTTGGTGTAAAAGCACACATTGGTTCATTTTCTCGTGTTAAGTCCCACTATTGCAGAAAAGATACGCGAAAACTCTATTTAGCACTCGAGTTGACTTTGTCCCGTATGTATTGGCTGTACCAAGATGACTATTGTAAAGAAAGGAATATTACCCCAGTGCCATCTTTTGTATACCGCAATATTTTCAATTCATATCATGATCCATCACTGTCATTCTTCCTTCCTAAAAAAGATCAGTGCACTACATGTAATGCCTACTATTCTTCCACGGATAAAACTAGTTTGCAGTACAAGTGGGACAAACACAAAAATCGAGAAGAGAAAGCTATGAAAATGAAGTCTTTGAATAAGCTGGAGACAATAGCTGATATAGGTATCACCTACAGATCAATAACTTCTGACCCTGAATCAGTTATGAGTTTTCCGTATTCCAGAGAAAATAAAATTCATTACAAACGTAAACTCAATGATTTTTGTTATTTATGGGATGAGTGCAATGGAAAAAGCGGTAGTACTGAAGTGGTCAGTTGTCTTTTGAAGTACATTTTTGATTTGCCTGATTCTGTATCTCACATAGCATCTTTCAGTGATACGTTTGAAGGACAGAACCATAATCAGTTCAAAATGCACAATTTGAAGAGAATTGATTTGAAATTATGGAAGCAGGTCATTCTTATACAGAACGCGATTTTGTGCATGCAACGATTGAACGGAAGAGAAAACATGAAAGTGTATACTACAAGAGAATGGGCCCTGTTGATAGCAGGAGCAAGGATTAAACCGTCACCATATAAAGTGATGCCGATGACATACACAGATTTTGTTGACATTAATAGAGTTGTTTCAGGAAATGTGTTCAATGTTAAAGTTGATACCTAAAAGGAAATAGTTAACTGGCTGCATATTAAATGGATTCGAGTCCAGAAGAACAAGCCAACGATTATTCAGTATAAGTACGATTTCTCCGAACAATCCTTCTTAGAAATTAACACACTCACAAAAAAAATACGACAAGAATAAAGCAGAAAACAGCTTTGTATTGGTCATCTCTTAATTTGAAACAGATGTATACCTCCAAGCTTTCAGTAACGAAAGCTAAGAAAACCGATCTCACAGAGCTCTTGAAATTGAAAGTGATTCCTGAAGATTATAGGAATTTTATAGAAGAAATATCGAGAGCCAACTGAATCATGAATGTCGCCTCAGAATCTGACGATGATGTTGAAACAATATAATGGTCTAGAATTTTTTAAGAAATGCTACTTTGGTTTCGAATAAATAATTTTTTTTTCAGCAAGGTTATTTTATTCACTCATTACTTTCAAGTAATCACACAAATGAGGTAAATACCTGGGGTTAGTTTCCAAATGTGTTGAGTGACTCATATACTTATTTCATTGTTATTTTTCTAATTACTTGTCCACTGAATATCTAAAACAAAGCAGTTTTTTGTTTTATTACGTAATCGAAAACTCAGCTGAAAAATGATATCAATAATGATAGAGGAATGTGTGCAGTAGCCAACTGTTGTAGGCTCTTGCACACACGCACATGCGCCCACATTGCACATTTGTGCGCCATATAATCGATATTCGAAAATCCTTTTTTATTGTACAACTACAACATTGAACGAACCTACATACAAAATTTCAGCCTCCAAGATCATATTGGTATGGAGAAACAGTGATAAAAAAGTAAATTTCATACGTAAACGCACCGCTTTTTCACCCATGGGAGCTTTCCATTGGAATTATTCAAAATTCATTTTTACTGCGCATCTAAGACCAAAGAAGCACCTATATAGCAAATGTTAGCTTTCTAGGACATACCAGTTCGGAGAAACAAGATGAATGAGTGTTAAGTGAGTGACTTTCGCAATTATAAGTATAAATCAGCAAATCAATCAAAGTTTGACTATTATCAGTTAACCTTGTTGGTGATATTCTCAACTGAATATTACTGGAGTTTTTTTCCCACATCAAAACTTGCAATAGCTTGTTGAAATAATATTTTAATTATTAGATTTACCTGAGTATTACATAAGAACACATTGTAAAATTAATTCAAGACTAGAAGATAAGGCAATATTGTGAAATTAATTCCAGGTACCTAGAAGATATATCTATGGCATAAATAAGGATAACATTGTAAGTATATTTAGTTAAATCTTCTTCTTGAAGATGATCACTTGGTGATCGGAACACATGTTGAGGTGTTGAATTAATGGTTTTATGTTGGGAAAAAAACTACAGTAATATTTAATTATACACCAAAGGTTCCAAACAGTGCATCACCAGTATATTTTAAGTTTGGAGTCAAAAATAACTCCTAAATCTTTAAATGTATTAACTCGTGACAGCAAGATATTATTTATGTGATATGAATATGTAATTAACTCATCTGAATTGGAATAATCGAGTTAATTAGACAATAAATCACGTTTACGAATATGTGTGTGAGCAACTCAAGGTTGAGTTCTACATGCCCAAAAATTTCACTTTCAGAAAAAAACTCACAGTTCACTCTAATCGTTCATCAAGGAAGCTGAGGGTGGACGATAAACAGAGATATGATAGATAAACACAATCGTTCAAGAGAAGGACTAACATAAAAATAGAACAGTTGTTTTCAAATTGTTTCTGATTTGAAAAGCTACACCACCTACTCTAGTACAATCGGTACTAAGGCATGTTTCACTTGAGGTAACAATAATAATAATATGATAATGAGGACCAAAAATCTAACGACCATCATATATGCGTGATATATATACTACTAGTACTATGTTGCTGTATCGCTGCTGTTCCAATGTTTTGACAGAATCAGAATCAACGAACTTAGACGTGCGCAGCCTTATAGAACAGTACTTTCAAAAAATTGTTCTATAGCGCCATCAAGTGGCGAGTTACAGAAAAATTGATAGCCTAAAAACCTTCTCTGTGAAAAATTACTTATACCTGTCACGTTTCATCACGATCGGTTGAGCGATGTAGAAGTTTATCACTTACCAAACAACCAACCAACAAACATCCATTTTTATATAGTAGATTTAATCGAAATAATGATTATTCATAATTCAACAATTATTCAACGATGAATCTAACAATCATTATTTTTGATTTTTCTGATGTCGCGTTTTTGAAAATTAAATACCGATTATCCCATATTTTGTAGGGCGTAAAATACTTGTTGAAATAAACGTAATGATAAAGATCATAAATTTAATAATCATTTTATTGGTATTTTTGATATTTTTCACTCCGCTTCTGAAATATTTATGAAAATGGTGAATATTGAACCTTATTTTTCGATTATGGGTTGTTCCATATTTTGTAGGCCACAATTTGTTTGCTGAAATGATGATAATGATAACCATAAATCTAATATTCAATAATTTTGTGTTTCTGATACCAGCAATTTTTTTAAAATAAGTTTCTCATGAATACGATGAATTATATCTCCCTTTTTACAACACCGGTTGTCCCATATTTCGTAGGACACAATGTTGTCTGTTGAAATAATGATAATTATGACCGTAAAACTACCATTCAATATTTTCGTGTTTGCCATATCACGTAAGTCATAAAATTCTCTTCGAAATGACGAATGGTGAAAATAGATAGTATTTCATCGATTATAGGTCGTCGCATATTTTGTATTTTGTTTGTTGAAAATTGTTTGCCGAAATAATGATAATTATAACTGTAAATATAAGGATCTTTATTTTTTGTGTTTTTTTCTAATGTTATCGCGTTTTAAAAAAAGTTTCTAATGGAAATGATGGATAATGATCTTTTTTTATGAACTCTTTCATGATGAAATTAGTTGATCGATCCTCATTTTTCGATTACAGATTGTCCTATGTTTCGTCACAGTTTGTCTGCTAATATAATGGAAATAATCACGATGAACCTAACGTTCATTATTTTTGTAATTCTGACAGCATGTTTGTTTGTCTTATAAGTTCCTCATAAGTACGATTACCGATCTGGATTATCGATTGTCCCATATTTGACTACTTTTCGAAATGATAATGATGAAGACTCAAAATGTACCATCATATTTGCGTTTAAGAAAATTTAATTCTGTAAATGGCGAATATTGTTTTTTTTGATTACAGATTGTCCCATATTATGAAGGTGATTAACCTTGTACACAAAATTGATAATGTTTGAGAGTGTTATAATATACAGGATTGACATCATTTTTGGTAATTTTTTATAACCGACTTTCTCAATGAAATGCGTTCAATAGCAATGAAACTAGTTAAATTTTATTTTATAAGTTGCTCAAGTATAATATCAGATGTTGCCGAATCGAAAAAAACTCGAAAACTGTCAATTTTTCTCTTCTTTTCAGAACTAATCATTTCTTTTGATAAGACCTGCGTATAATCAATATTCCTAAAGCATTGTCGAAACAGTCTAAACAAATAGTAGCGTCTTTAATAGACTACTTTGAAAGACAAGTTGAGAATGGACGACCATTACTTCCACTAACTGCTGTTATAGACGTTAAGTTATATTAATTGTATTAATATCCTATCCTACATCTATAAAAACTAAACAAAAATCATAAAACGAACATATAAATGTTGGGTTGGATTAAATATTCGTCGATTGTTGATTTCAGAGGGTTGCAGATGCCTTACAGTTGGGTATTACTGCTGTAAACCGTATTGCGACTAAATTTAATAGAGGTGAAGTATTCAGCAATCCATCGAAACAGCGAAAACGAGTGAAACCAGTGGTGTATATTGATGAGTTCGATCAAACTGCCGTGAAGCAGACCTAATAATATGTTCAAAAACAAAGAATTGTGATTACCACGGAGAAATGAACCAAAAAAATTATCTGCATTGGTTTGAATACCAAGTATTAATATATTTAGAAGAGCCTTCAGTTATAGTAATGTATAATGCAAGTTATCACAGCACTGTTATCAATAAATCCCCAACAACCAGCATCGAAAAAAGCTGATATCCAAGAATGGTTATCAAACAATAATATTCCGTTTGAAAATACTTTTCTCAAACTACGATTGGTGGCTTTGGTTTCGAAGTAAATGATATTGTTATTAAAGCTCAGTCAATACATTATAAATTTACGTCGTAGGAATAAACCACCACCTATATATGAAGCTGAACCGCTTGCAGAAAAAAATATGGACATCAACTGCTTCGTCTTCTACCGTATAACTGCATGTTCAATCCCATCGAACATATTTGGGAATTAACAAAAAAATTTTATAGGGATAGACAAGTAGGGTTTGACAGGGAAGATGTTCAACCTCTTATAATAAATTTCGATTCTGATGATGATTATGACGATGGTGATGACGAGTTGTAATTAAAAAATATATACAATTAAATGTATTCAGATAAAATATTTTATTTTTCATTACTTATTATGAAAGAAAAAGTGAAGTGCCATTATATTTGTATTTCAACTAAGTAAGTTAATAGTAAGTGAGGTTAATAGCAATAAAACAAATCAACAGTACAAACAAATTTGAAAGTTCGAAATAGAACACATGTTGGCAACGCCGTAACTTGTCATCTTGTGACGTCATTATCTTCTAAACGAGAATATCCTATAATGTGTATGTAGGTATACCCGACAGACGTTTATGCAAGATACCTCACAGGGGTAAGTCTTGCAGATGTTTCTCGTTCATCCAGAAGCAGGACCATACTGAGATTATTCGATTATTCAAGATCACCTACAGATCGCGGTTTCGAAGTATTACCTCTCGTCAATACGGGAAAGATCCTTCCCAGACAGCAAAGTGCCAGGGACTCGATTGATTTCAACGCAAGAGGCATTTGAGAAAGTACTAATAAAATCATTAATGAATGGAGAATTATAAATCTATTTAATCACTCAGAACAATGTTGTTTTCATTAGGAAGATGTTTTTTGATTAAATATCAGACTTTTTTGCTGAATATGTATAATATTCAGATTTTCTGTGGAATTGTGAGTGCTTTCTTTGAGATGATTGACGTAGTTGAAATCTTGTTCATTCAATCTGTAACTTTTCAAATTCTTCTCGAATCTCAGGTAGAAACTGCAGCAAGTCTGGCCTATAGATATGGCATTGCAGTCGTTGCACTTGAGCTTATAAAACTCTAATTTTTTAATTTGTCTGGTGCTGACTTCGGGTTTTGTTCTTGTATTTTATCTACGATAAAGTTTTATATACTATGCTGCAAGTTTATGAGAGTATCGGTGCATCAATTGATTGTGTATGTGTGGGTTTGTGATATATTGAAAAATTGTGTTTGTTGTTTGAGGTTTTAGGTCGCAAATATAATGGTGGTGGGTCTTTCATTATTTTGACGAGTAGTTCATGATATACCAATTTCACGGTGAAATATTTCAGTAACGGAATAAAAAATATCATAAACGTAAAAATTACCGTCGTTACATTTTTGGTCTTGATTATTATTTCAACAAATAGTATATGATATACAAAATCTGGAACAATTGATATTCGAAAGACATAGATCATTATTCACCATATTCGTTAGAAACTTTTTCGTAAACGCGATAATAGTAGGGGAAACACACAAAGAATGATCGTTAGAATAATAATTAATAATATCACTATTTCCGCAAACAATTTTTGACCTTGAAAATATGGGACAACCTGTAATCAATAGAATAGAACTACACATGATATTAAATGAATGATCCTCACAAATTTATTTTAATTCTAGACGCGTTTCGCAAATATTGTAGCTTCCTCTGTAATTCAGAGAAGAGAAATACAAAAATACAAAAAAAATGAACGAAAGGTTCACAGTCATTATTATTAGTATTTCAGCAAACATATTCGGTAAATATTCGTTTTAAGGGCACCCGGCGATTTTGAAAAAATGTTTGAGTGTACTTACGTATTTTGATGCGTATAGAATAATTGTTGGACTTTTGGTCGTTGTTAATTTTTTTTATTTCAACAAGTAGTTAACGACCTACGAAATATGAAACAACCGGTATTCAAAAAAAAAATGTTATTCATCACACACAATAGAAACTTTTTCAAAAACGCAAAAGTGGTATCATAATCACAAAGTTAATGAACGTAAGATTTATGGTACTTTGTATCATCATTTTGGTAGGCAATTTATAACTTGCAAAATAAAAGACAACCTGCGTTTAATAGAAGCTATTCATCATTTGTAATTGGCATACAAACATTTTCAAAAATGCAAAAAAGAAAGAATACCAGAAACGAACAGAATATGTCATTAAATATTTTTTTCTTATTAATTTTCATTAACGTAATGTATAACCTACAAAATATGGGGCAAGTTGTTTCCGAAGAAAAAATACTTACATTGTATGTATTCATTCTCAGTGGAAAAGTTTTTGGAAAGGCAAGAGGAAAGGCCAGAAACGTAAATAATCTTCAATATAGATATGTAGAAATAAACTGCACCCCTTAAATTCGTTTCATTCAAAAGAATGAAACATTCTATGTCATTCAAAAGTGTGATGAAAGTCCCAGCGGATAATTTTACTAGCTTGATATTTAGGATCACTCATGTGAATGCTGATTACTATAATCAGCCTCAGTTGAGAAAAAGAGGTTTTTCGCACTCAGTCAGTAAATAAAATTTTCGAATTTAATTCAATAATTATGTTAAGTGAGGAAAAGTTTATTTTCCATTAGTTCCCAGAATTATCAGTGCTAGTTCACTTTCCAGACAGTCATTCATTTTACAACCACCCAGAAATAATTGAAAAACAACCTTTCAACTTGAGGTAGTATAAAAAACAAATCAACTCAAATCAGGACAATTTTTTACCTGACACTGCAGCAAGTAATTGACTTTTCGTTCCAGAAAACAAACTCCCATCCCTATTTTGCATGATTACCACTCCACTGTTAAACTGAAACTAATAACATTTGTGAATAAGTCATCGAAAATGAGCTGATAATCGTAAAAATGATACAAACATTCTACTGAGGGAAGTGACATTCCAGACATTCATTGAATGGTTTATCAGCTACTCTGATCCAGTAAATAAACAAGTTTTTATAGATTCAAAAGAATATACAATTTGTTTTTATCGAGACAAGTATGCTTTGTGAGTCAGTAAGAGAGAGATGAATGTGTGAATAATATTGCTGATATCGAACCTTGAAACGATCCTAAAAATATCCAAATCGAAGAAAATCCTTAAAATCCATACTAAGTTACATCATATGACATTTATGTGATGTGAGTTTTAGTTATTATTCTAGTAGTACCCACAGATGAAATTAGTATTATACATGAGACAAAGCTGACACATAAGTAATAGTAGAAAAAAACTCATTACAAGATTACGGAAAGAAGTTTATACGTGATGGAGTCGGCCGATAGGTACTTGAAGAAAGTCCGTATTCAAGAAAAACTTCATTGTGGGATTTTCACTAAACAGTTTTACAAAATCGCAACACGTGTTTCGATATTTAATAGCTTCTTCAGGCGTGTCTATAGACACATGTTACGATTTTCTAAAACTGTGTAGTGAAAATTTCACAAAAAAGTGTTCCTCGAAGAAGTTTCCAGGAATGGAATTGTAGATTCTGATGACATTATTAGAACACTTCGTTATTTAATACAACGAATTTCTTGAAATTTTTCCACTCGAAATAGAAGACAGTTTAAAATCCTGAAAAGTTATAGGTAGCCATAACAAAAAGTAACTCCATAATCTTCATTGAATTTATATATGATCATTCCTGAAAAATTGAGAGTATGAATATGTAAAAAAAGCGGATGAAAATGTTTTCTTTCAACAAAAACAAAAATCGGATCAACAACTTGCGATATGATTTTGTCTGAATGTGATAACTTTCAATGAATTAAACAATATATTGCTAGAAATTTATATAGTTATGAATAAATTGTCCAGTTGGGAAAATATCCCAATAAGATAATGCCGTGACTTTATTTAGCCTCTAGCATTTTTGATAATATTTATGTCTACTTTATAGTATGTTACATCATGTAAGTTAATTTTTCTCAGATGGCATCAATATTAATTTATAATATTATCACTAATCAATACGTTCCTCACTTTGGGAACCCAAACGCTAACAGATTACTTGAACAAAATTTTGTGATTTCGTTATGATTTCCCACAGAAGGTATAAGCGAGTTTATGATACTTTACCGGGAACACCTCATTTTGTATGGCAAACCGGTCGCAAATTACATATATCATGAGCGATCAGGTCGTGTTCTACCTGCAGTGGCGTACTTGGGTATTTAATAAAAAATGCCTGTTAGAACTAATAACTGTGTTACTCACCCAGTAAAGTTATCGGTCAACCACCCAATCCCGCATCTGCGGGCAACAGGCGTTGGCCGATTTCAAGCTAGATGTGTGGGAGAGGTGTCTAATTGGAGCAGTATTAGATCGGATCATATCATGACGACGTCATCCTCTTTTCCAGCGGAAATTGAAAATATCCCATCTATGCCTGATTCAGGTATGTGTCATTTCAAAAAGTGCATTTTAGAGAAAGTATTACAAATTTCAATCGAAAATCACAAATGAAAATCATCTTGGAAATTGTTGACGTTCTGGGGACATCTGAGTGGGTTGATATTAGTAAATTTTCTTTGCTGGATCCTAAATTTTACGGACTTCGAAAGGAGATATTAATCTCATAATCTTTCCATTTCCAAAATGGCACTTCAAATTGTTTGTTATTTCCAAAGCGTGTTTATCGCATTCAACTTTGTGAATTTCCAAAATATTGATTTGCCACCCACAGAATCTTACAGCTATCAAATAAACACAAATATATAATCAATCAAGAGCATTTTTTTCCAAAAATTTGCCACCGCTTTATTTATGTCGGTTGACATTTTCACGAAAAGTGATAGAATACTTGAATTCTATGACGCCATAGTTTCACGGGTTCCAGGTTGAGGCAAGAAAGTTACAGGTTATTGAACAGTGTATATCCAAATTAACTAGCTTGGGCTTACATGTCATGTAGTACATTTCATCAGTTCGGACTTCCATTGTCTAATACGATATACATTTATTTGAAATCCCTGAAAGAATCTGTAGAAAGATTAGCTGAGAAAACAATTTTATTGAGCAAAAACCTGAAATTACAATGAAATAACATACAAGCAACAATCAAAAAAACCAAAAAAATTGAACTATCAACACGAGCTGAAAATATTAAAAAAAATATTAACCAGAAAATAAAATTATTAATATAAAATTTAAAGATTCCAAACCAAGTTACTTCACGACGTTTCGATTGTTAGTATGCATAATCGTCTTCGAAACGTCGTGAAGTAACTTGGTTTGGAATCTTTCAATTTTATATTTTTAATTTTCATTTCTTCTAAATAAATTTTTAAATTTTTTCAGCTCGTGTTGATTGTTGTTCAATTTGTTTTGTTTTTTTTTTGGTTGTTGCTTGTATGTTATCTCATTGTAATTTCAGTTTTTTGCTTATTAAATTGTTTTTTCAGCTAACCTTTTGAATTTTTCACAGATTATTTCAGGGATTTCAAATCAATTTATATCATATCAGACAATGGAAGTCCGAACTGATGAAATACACCACGAAACATTGTCAACAACCTTCAAAAAAAGTCATGTGAGTGATATGGGGTCAAACTTTACTGAACTTGCTAAGTCTCTTGGAGTAACCCCAGATAATACTGAATTTGAAATAGCTGGCACCAAAATGATTTATTTATTCGATACTTGACACTTGCTCAGAGCACCAGGAATATTTTGATTGATTATATATTTTGTTTTGATGAAAAAAGACTATAAGTAATACAGTTGCATATGCTATGAATATCTATATGAGTCTTGGTGCACTTCCTGCAGCAGCAGCAGCAGAGACTATTGAAGTGATAGAAAAATTAAATGAACTTGTTGATTTGTTGAATTCTTCTTATCAAACAAATTCAAAGATGTTTTTGAAGCAGCCGAATACCAGCTTGATTATATGGATAAAATGGTGACATTCTTAAAAAAAATTAAAATTATAAATTTTTGCCAAAATTATTTACATTCGAATCATATGAATTGTGTAGACGATCACGATGAACTAAATTAATCTGAAAGCAACATATGTAATTGTTCCTTAGAGAGATAATGAAAATTTTTCCTCCAGATCACGAGTATAGAACAAAAATTAAACAATATAAAATGCACTTGTGATACACTGTTTGGAACCTTTGGTGTAGTAATGAATTTCACTGAAGTTTTTTCCCAACACCAAATCGTTATTTTTGACACCTCGACACGTGTTTCGATCACCTAGTGGTCATCTTCAAGAGGCCGCACATTTGTGGTTTCACTTAATAGATTTTGTGTTCACAAATGTGCGGCTGGCTCCTGCTGGTGGCTCCGTGCATTTGTATTTATTTCTTCTGGTAACCAAGTGTTGCCCATCCTTACACTTGGCTGCAACATACTGATGATGGGCCAAAAGCCCGAAACACGTGTCTAATAGAAAGCACTT